CTGCTGGGCTCCAGCGATCCTTCCGCCTCAGCCTTCCAAGTAGTTGGAATTACAGGCATGTGCTACCACGCCCAGCTGATTTTTTTTTAATTTATTGTAGCGATGAGGTCTCGCCTGCCCAAGCGGGTCTCGAACCCGAGGGCTCAGGCAATCTACTCACCTCAGCCTCCCAAAGGCGCAGGATTACAGGCTGAGCCACCAAGCCCGGCTACACCTCAGCCTTTCAAGTAGCTGAAACTACAGGCACACGCCTGGCTAATTTTTTTTTTTTTAATTGTAGAGATGAGATCTCTCCAAGTAGCCCAGGCGGGTCTCGAACCTGCAGGCTCAGGCAGTCCACTCACCTCGGCCTCCCAAAGCACAGGATTACAGGCTGAGCCACCGAGCCCAGCCTATGGATAGTTTTGATATGAGAAATACTTTTGATATAATGTGAAATTTTAAAAATGTGTTTAGCCAATATGTCTCAATTATTTAAAGAAACAATTCACTAAGGAAAAGCTAACATTTTATAACTGCTGGTGGACATGTCAGTGATACAAACTGTGTGGAAGACAATTTGGCTCTTTCTAGTAAAATTATATACATTTTAATCTAGCATTTCTATTCCCACTAATTTACACAATATATTTACTCCACATGCCAAAAGAGGTATGTAAAGGATAGACACTGAAACATTGTTTATAATAGCAAAATACTGAGCCAGTCCAACTATTTATAACCAACTAGGAATTGGTTAAATTATGAGTATACCAGTAAAATAGAATACCGTAAAACTCTTTTTAAGAATAAGGTGGCCAGGCACGGTGGCTCAGCCTGTAATCCCAGCACTTTGGGCAGCCGAAGTGAAAGGATTGCCTGAGCTCAAGGGTTCAAGACTAACCTGGGCAACTTGGTGAGACCTCATCTCTCCAATAAATCAAAAAATAAGCTGGGAGTGGTAGCATGTGCCTGTAGTTCCAGCTATTTAGAAGGCTGAGATGGAAGGATCGCTCGCCTGAACCCAGCATGGGCCACAGAGTGAGACTCCAACTCAAAAAAAAAGAATAAGGCAGCCAGGTATGGTGCCTCATGCCTGTAATCCCAGCACTTTGGGAGGCAGAGGCAAGAGGATTGCCTGAGCCCACGCGTTTGAGGCCAACCTGGGCAGCTTGGCGAAACCTCATCTCAACAATAAATCAAAAAATTAGCCAGGCATAGTGGTACATGCCTGTAGTTCAAGCTACTTGGAAGACTGTGGTGGAAGTATCACCTGAACCCAGCAATTCGAGGCTGCGGTGACAATGAGCATGTCACTGCACTCCAGCCTGGGTGACAGAGTGAGACTCCTACTCCAAAAAAAAAAACCAAATAAGACAATATACCAATATGGAAAGATGCAGGACAGTGTTAGAAAATGCAACCAACTCTAAGAAAAAAGTTGAATGTATAAACATATAGGATCTGTCTGGCAATAGAGCTTGCCTCTGAAAAAGGGAATTGGATGAGGAGAGAGGAAGGGGTACCTTTTATACATTTTGAATTTTGTATGATGTGCATATATTTCCTATTCAAAAATATTTTTCAATCTTAGAGGTTAGAAAGATGGTTAAATCTTAAAGGTTAGAATTATCAGTAGTTGCTTCTGGGTGGTGAGACTTGAGACTTATTTTCTGCCTCTTTTGTTTTACTGTACATTCCAACTTTTTTTAAAAAATAAAGTTTTGGGAGCCGGCCACAGAGGCCCACTGAGCGTTAGGGATCAGGAAGGGCCATTGACCCTGAGACTACTAGGATGTGTTCGGGAGCTATTGACCCCATTTCCTCCCTCTTTCTACTCAGCACTAACCAGCACTAACCAGATTAAGCTCCTGTGAGCTCAAAACATAAAAACTCTGAGACCGGGAC